CCTTTTTTAAAATTCTGCCTGCCAAACAATCAAGACCATAAACAAAGTCAAAAAGTTTATATTAAACTTTTTTAAAAGACACATATATGTGACAGTCTTATGACAACTTTCCTAACATAGAGAATGTTCTTTAAAATCTATATTTAAATGACTATAACACAGTAGGAAATGGGAAGATATATGAATAGACAATTTATACAGAAACATATAAATGACTTTTAAATGAAATGAAGCTCCATCTCATTCATAAATTTTAAATTATTAAATTTTTTTTAAAAAGCCTGGCTGATAAGCAACAGTCTGGAACCTTAGGAATACACAAGGTTTGGGGAAAATAGATATTCTGCCTAATCATGACTATTGGTGGTAAAACTTATCTAGAAGAAAATTTAGTTGAATCATATAGACTATGAGTATGCTACTTTCTTGAATAATAATTTTTTCCTTGAAGTGGATAATTATTACATTTTAAAATTTTAATTATTTTGGCTTACTTACTTATATGTGCTATTGCTCAGTTCATCAATGGCTAACTTCCAATTTTCTGCTGGGTTTGGGAAATGATCACTGCTTGTTATACAGGCACTGGTAGAGAACATGGGTAGTCTGCTGCTTATATATTTTCAGTCTTCCTATTTTCAGCCTTCACTCCCTGAATGGCCTCAAAACACACAAACACACACAGCACCATCCACCCTAATTATTCAAGTGTAATTAATGCTTCTGGTTTCTAAACCCTTCCACAGGGGTACAGCACACATCTAAGTGCTTCTTGTTTCTTCTTACATTGGCCCCAAGTCTCATTGTTTATGTGACTTTACCTTGAAATTACTTTGGCCCTGGATGAGGAACTATTGATGTCAGACTCTTTTTTCAAAATCACTAATGAAGAGTTGGGTATGGGGAATATTCACTTCTAGTTCTTATTCTCTAGAAATTTGTATGAGTTTTGTATCAACCAGAGACTGAGGGACAAACCACCATAGACTGTGCCACAGAGTGGATCAAATGGAGAGACACTCAGCCTCCAGGCCCCTTGTTGCCACTCAAAGAGTTTGTGCTCAGCTGCCCCTGCAGTTCCCATCACTGTGTCACTCAGAGCACAGTAGTACACAGCCGAATCTGAAACTTGGACTGAGGCTTTCTCCAAGTGGAAGGATTTTGATTCTCTGTGGTATGTGGCTTCAAACTCTTTATTGGTTCCCTTCTCATTGTCCTTCATGGCTTTCAGAAGGACCTGTGGACCTTCTCCAGGATATTGAACATACCAGAAAGTAACGGGATACCCAGTGGCTGAATAAGTGCAATTTATGGTCAAGGCAGCCCCTTCTGGAAGAGTCATTTGGCCATCCATCTGGGTCACTGAGTCTTCACGGGTTTGTCCTGGGGAAAAATAAAAGAGTTCTGTATCATCTTGGGCATAAAGCTCTGGGATAAAATGATGATTAAAGGTTTTGTGGACATAACAGAAGAAAGAATCCAAATTTTTAGAGGCATTTTGCTTACCAAGCACGAAGAGTATCACAGTCACTAAGCCTGGAGAAGAGTTCATCTCTAGAGTGTCTCCTGAATAATGTCCTTGACTCTTCACATGAAGAAATATTGAAGTCACAGTGAAGTGATAAACCTAAGCCTAGTTTCAGACAGGAAATGTGTTTGTGTTAGGAAACTGCACCCCCTGGTGGACAGACACTGAAATGGGATGCACGTTTCCTGGTCTCCTCAAGTCAGAAAAATGTTATCCTTGACTTTATTCATGAAGTACATGCCAGTCTTCAGGTGGTGCTTGGAAATCTGATCAAGAGCTGTCATAACTTCTCAGGTCTGTTTTGCTCTTAGGACACTGCCTGACATGGAAGTTCTTTAACAGAGCATCCCCGGTATTTCTGCAGCTGAGAAGATAGCAGTTTTCTTAAGCACATTATATAGTACTTTATATTCTCAGGTATCCATGGTGGGCCAGCCTATAATGCACTGAATGTCAGAAAAGAATCTGAGGTTGATTACAGAGGACGTAATAAGGAGCCATATCAGTACTGAGTGAATCTGTGTATTTCAGCATTGTACCCCAATTTATAGAGTAACAGTGAGTGACATTTATTACATGCTCACTAAATATTTGTTATACCAAACAAAAATAATGAATCAAGGATCACTGATTGAGGAATCACTACTACCTGAAATATAATATTTTATCAGTCCCAAAATAATATCATTTGTAAGAAATGCTATCTTTTTAATAAAATCTTTTCAGAGGAAAAAACCACACTATCTTATCAATAGTCAAATAATCCTGAATTTCAGAATCATTAAAATGTGAAAACAAACGAAATATCATAATTGAAATGATCAAATCCTTATAGAATGGTCTGAGATCAATGTCTTATTTTCCTACTGTTTTCTTGACTCCAAGATAAAAGGGTTGGCCTATGTGAATCAGACAAGTACTAATCTTATACTCTTAGTGAATAACCTCAAGGATGCTTTCTGTTACCATCCATCTGCCATATTTTATTGCCAAACTTTAATCAAATAATTTTCCTCCACTGGGTTAGGAACTCTAAAGATGTGGATTTGTTTCAAAAGCCTCGAGCATGAGTTAGGACTCTCTTTTTCCCCAGCTTTTCAAATTATTAAAGACATAGCTGATTTTCATACAACAGCTGATAATAGAATCAATGTGTAAGTGATTTAAAATTACAGACTCTGGGATCCCACAACTAACTTCATGAATCATACTTTCCAGGATTGAGACCCACAACTATGTAATTTTTTTTTTCCCTTGGCCTTGCTGCACAGCTTGTAGGCTCTTAGGTCCCCACCCAGGGATTGAATCCGGGCCCTCAGCAGTGAAAGTGAGGAGTCCTAACCACTGGACTGCCAGGGAATTCCCACAAGTGTGTAATTTTTTAAAGCTCCCAGATGGTTTTGTTGCAGCCAGTCTGATGCCAGTTTATAAGATTTCATTTGTGATCAGTGTCCTAGACCAAGATGCTCATCAAAGATCAGGGAGTAGGGCTTCCCTGGTGGCGCAGTGGTTGAGAGTCCGCCTGCCGATGCAGGGGACATGGGTTCGTGACGTGGTCTGGGAAGATCCCACATGCCGCAGAGCGGCTGGGCCCGTGAGCCATGGCCGCTGAGCCTGTGCGTCCGGAGCCTGTGCTCCGCAACGGGAGAGGCCACAACAGTGAGAGGCCCACGTAACGCAAAAAAAAAAAAAAAAAAAAAAAAAAAGGTAAGATATTTTGAGTTAAAAGTCTTTAAGACTTTTAAAATTGATTTTTATTGGAGTATAGTAGATTTACAATGTTGTGTTAGTTTCTGCTGTACAGCAGAGTGAATCAGTTATACATGTACATATATCCACTCTTTTTTAGATTCTATTCCCATGTAAGTCATTACACTCTTTTTTAGATTCTATTCCCATGTAAGTCTATTCCCATGTAAGTATTCAGTAGAGTTCCCTGTGCTATACAGTAGGTTCTTATTAGTTATCTAATTTATATATAGTAGTGTTATATGTCAATCCCAATCTCCCAATTTATCCCTCCTCCCCATTTCCCCCTTGGTAACCATAAGTTTGTTTTCTACATCTGTGACTCTACTTCTGTTTTGTAAATAGGTTCATTTGTACCATTTTTTTTTAGATTGAACATATAAGCAATATCATATGATATTTGTCTTTCTCTGTCTGACTTACTTCACTCAGTATGACAATCTCTATGTCCATCCATGCTGCTGCAAATGGCATTATTTCATTCTTTTTTATGGCTGAGTAATGTTGCATTGTATATATGTACCATATCTTCTTTATCCATTCCTCCATTGGTGAACATTTAGGTTGCTTCCATGTCCTGGCTATTGTAAATAGAGCTGCAATGAACACTGGGGTGCATATGTCTTTTTGATTTATGGTTTTCTCTGGCTATATGCCCAGAAGTGAGATTGCTGGATCATATGATAGTTTTATTTTTAGTTTTTTAAGGAACCTCCATACTGTTCTCCATAGTAGCTGTATCAATTTACATTCCCACCAGCAGTGTAGGAGGCTTCCCTTTTCTCCACACCCTCACCAGCATTTATTGTTTGTAGATTTTTTGATGAAGGCCATTCTGATCAGTGTGAGGTGATACCTCATTGTAGTTTTTGTTTTGTTTTGTTTTGTTTTTTGCGGTACTTTGCCTCTTACTGTTGTGGCCTCTCCCGTTGCGGAGCACAGGCTCCGGACGTGCAGGCTCAGCGGCCATGGCTCACGGGCCCAGCCGCTCCGCGGCATGTGGGATCTTCCCGGACCGGGGCACGAACCCATGTCCCCTGCATCGGCAGGCGGACTCTCAACCACTGCGCCACCAGGGAAGCCCCCCCTCATTGTAGTTTTGATCTGCATTTCCCTAATAATTAATGATGTTGAGCATCTTTTCATGTGCCTCTTGGCCATGTGTATGTCTTCTTTGGAGAAATGTCTATTTAGATCTTCCACCCATTTTTTTGACTGGGTTGTTCGGTTTTTTGACATTGTGCTACATGAGCTGTTTGTATATATTGGAGATTGATCCCTTGTTTGTGAATTCATTGGCAAATATTTTCTCCCATTCTGTGGGTTGTCTTTTCCTTTTGTTTATGGTTTCCTTTGCTGTGCAAAAGCTTTGAAGTTTCATTAGGTCCCACTTGTATATTTTTGGTTTTATTTTCATTACTCTAGGAGGTGGACCAAAAAAGATCTTGCTGTGATTTATGTCAGAGAGTGTTCTGCCTATGTTTTCCTCCAAGAGTTATTATTTGGTCTTACATTTAGATCTTTACTTTCATGTATGGTGTTAGAGACTGTTCTAATTTCATCCTTTTAAACGTAGCTGTCCAATTTTTCCAGCACCACTTAATGAAGGGACTGTAAGACATTCCTTTTAAGATTTCTACTCTACACAACTGCTTTCGAAATGCAAATATAAGAGGCAGTTACAATACAAGATCACTTAGCAACCACCCATTACCATCAAATTTTAAGACACTGAGAAAATGGGATTAGAGGTAGAAGGAGGAACTTTGAGGGAAGGAGTATTTGGGATTGTGTAACACTGATTGAAATAGATGGCCTGGAGGTGTCCAAAATGTGCCACATGATGGCAAAAATACTTTTGAAGGAGTGGTGCAGTGAAGGGCAAGAGCGGAGAAACAAGATAATTCATACTCTGCTTCTCACAATGTCCTTTTAAGAGCCACTAATCCTTGATCTTTTTGTGGATAAGACTGATGGGAGGCAGGTAAAACTTACATTATGGTAATTGAGCTGTTCCATGCTAGAGGTGTTAATAAGATGGAATGAGGATTAGCACAAAGTTTGTGACATATCAGGCACCTTAGAAAGTAAACAAGTGTACCGTTAACTCAGCTAACAAAACTAAATTAAATGAATTCATTAAATGGTGTAAAACTGCATAATATTCAAAAAGAGGAAAATCACAAAGAGATTTCACAACCTTCCTTATTCAAAACAATGCCTGTAATATAATATATATTCAATAAACATTTAATGAACAAATTGAAATGAAAATCCAAAAATTCACGCATATTTTTACTAAGTTTTGAATCAGATGTCTCTGAATTTCCTTAGTCAATTCTTCTAGCTCATTCTAATCACTAAATGGCAAGGATTTTATGTGGCTATTTTTTGTCTTCAATAAAAAATTTGAACCCACATTTTCAGGGATAAGGATGTTTTTGATGAATGATGTCTCTAGACATGGTCTACGAACCCAGAGAAATATTTTCTTAGAAGGAGTATTTTCCCTCTAACCTTACACCTGTGCTGCCACAGCCCTAACCACTTCCTGTCTGTAAGGCAGTTCCCTGCCCTGGTCCCTATAGCAGGCAGATGTATCAAGCAGAGCCCTGGGTTTTGGTATACCTCCCTCCAACACGCCTCTCACTGTGGGCTCACTCAGTGCACAGAAATACACTGCAGAGTCCTCCAGCTGTGAAGCTGAGATGGCAAGTTTGATGGATTTGTTTGCCTTCTGGAAATTCACTGAGTAGCGACCTTCTGTTGCATTTTGCTGGTTATAAGAGTCCTGACGAATAAGGAGAATCATCGCCCCACTGCTGGGCTGCTTGTACCAGTATAGACTATAACCTAAAACATTTGTGTCATACATGCAATCCAGGGTCACAACCTCCTTCTCCTGCACTAATATTACTGGTTGGTCTTGAGTTACCTTCTGGGCAATACTGGATCCTAAAGAAAAAAAAAAACAGAATCAGAACTTTAAGAATAAGTACTGTGGAACAAAGAAATTCTATTTTACACTCTACTGCCCCTTCTTCCCAGGGTGCCCATAAACCACCTGTTCCCCCAGTCCTTAGGTCCTAGAGGGGTACAGTCCCACTGGGGCCATCCTTACCTAGCCACAGTGAAGCCATGACCAGCTTCAGAAGGCTGGAGAGAAGCATGTTTTAGGTCTTCCTCTAGATGGAAAGTGTCTTCTTCAATTTCAAGGCTCTGCAAGGTGAGGTGAGCCCGACAGGGTGAGGGAAGAATTGCTGAGCTATGTGTTGCTGCTGCCCCACAACAGGAAACAGGGGTTTCCTGGAGGAGCAAGTTGATGTGTGTCATGTCAGCTTCTCTGTGGACTAGATGAGAGTCTCACTCAACCCAGACTTCCTTTTGCATTAACCAGCTCTTCAACTGATAGCAATTACATCTGAAAATAAACACATGGTAAAATTGTTATTGAAAGGGAGATTGATGATTCGACCAGCTGCTGTGTTTAGTTGTTGCGTCTGTGATGGAACTTATTTTAAAATACTACATATAATGGATTATGCAAACAACCTAAGATGTAATGATCATGTATCCTTACACCAAATATGCTTTTCTTTCACCTAAGGTAGAAATAAATCACTTTATGATAAGAAGGCAAATCTCTTTAGACTAATTACTGCAGCTTTTTCAACCTATATATTGATATAGCAATCAATATAATTATTCACCGCAACATCTGTTCAGTTACCTATCTTGGGACGTAATAGCAGGAGAAAAGATAATCTCCCTTTGCAGAAGACTAGAATGAAGCTTGCAGACATGGAGTCCTGTCACAGAGGTCCCCTTCTCTTCTCTGTTAGTTTCGACAGCCCAACTGTGTTCAGAAAGGCCAAAATAGATGCCAGAGTTTGGTCATTAGGTTATCAAACCTTTGAATTTATATTTTTCCCATTAACTCAATTGGGACCCTAAAAGAGTTACAAGAAGCCCCTATATTCTGTGCGCCCAGCTCTAGAGGGAATATATTGCAGGTGACATCATACAGCTCCATAAGACAGCTGATCGTAAATTCACCACTGATTGTAATAAACCTTTCTTTGTGTATGAATGTAAAAGGAAAGCCATGCCTAAGGATATTACTAAACAACATGGCAAACAACAAAGGCCCATTGCCTATCATGGCCTCTACCCCTTAAAGTTCAACAAAACTTACACTCCTTGTCTCAAAGTAATAACAGCCTTGGCTAAATTGGTTGAAGCATCTTCAGATCTTGCTCAGGAATCTGCATTTAAATCTGATGGTACTACATACAGTACAAATTGTTCTCCAGTCTAAAACACCCAAACTTTGTCTACCGATTAGATGACTAATCATAAAATATTAATTTCTCCGCATATTATCCAACTTTGTTACACTTCTCAGTTAAAGGATCTCATGATTGTACTTCTGTTATTCAAAATGCCTTCATGTCCGGAACAGATCTTTTGGACACTCTCATACCAAATTCTGAATTGACATGTTTTTAAAATCATCTTACTTTAAATATTGAAAAGACAAAATACCAAGCTGGTTATGCAATAGCTACTCTAAACTCCCTTTAAAACCAATCATTAGCAGGAGCAAAATTAACTCAAGTAGCTGAACTTGTGGATCTCTCTTGGATATATTAAATTACAAAATGTATACATACAGTGTTAGTTATGGATTTTTAACAGTTCACGGCTTCCAAATACTAGGAAGACAATGAGGTTTTTTAAGCATCTTAACCTTTGCTTAACCTTCCTGTGTATCTCATGTATGCCTATTAAAAATGGACGCCAAATACATTAATTATTTGATGTCTTCATGTTACTCAAAGAAATTTTTGTCATAAAACCCAACTCTCACAGTGTAAAAGACTGTAGAAGCTAGAAAAAAATGATTGAGCAGATTATTATGCTAAGCATCCCTTTCTGACTTAATCCTTATGCAAGCACCTCTTCTAGAACATAAAGAGAAATCCATGGAGAAGTTCAGTAATTCCATGTTAGATGCACAAAATTTGGCCCCAATTTTGTAAAGAATCATTAGGAATGATTGATTTGTTTGATTCATGAGGACAAGATATACCAAAGCCAGGACAGCTGTCTGGTGGAGCCTAATGATCTCCGATGAACTCTTGCTAAAGTCCTCCAGAGAAAAGACATCACAGTAGGGACATATTGGCTGCAACATTAAACAAACACTGGTGGGGAAACTTCTAGGATGGCAAAGAATGGGGTCAGTTCATGCCTTTCGTGGAGCAAACAAACTCCCATGAAAAGCTGTAAAGGTGGGATATGAACTGGAATACTGTCCCAAGGAAACATTTGGGGTATTTCAAAAAGGAGTTAAACAATTGCTTTTTCCCCGCGGGTTATGAGTATGTACTAGGAGTAGTATTTTTATTTCTACATGGGTTGAAGCAGTCTTTTGTCAGAGAATCCACAGCACTCACGACAGTTGAAAATCAACTTGATATTGTGTTTACTACCTGTGCCATTTCAATGTATATCTATATAGGGGAGCTATGGAAAGTTTTGGCCCTCACTCAGAAATTTTACTATTCTTATCATCCCTCTATCTTCTGAGGAAGTGGAAAGAACCAATGGAATATTAGAACTGAAATGAGTTACTGTATCAGACACCCTTGAACTACTATGGCCTAATGCATTATTAATTAGCCTTGGCCCCCATGGCCCTGCTTTCTTCCCCTCACAAAGTCATATGTTGTCTCACTATGAACTGGTCACTGATAGGCCCAGGTAACTCACAAGGTCCCAAACGACACGTATTCCAGTCTTTCACAAACTGAACTAAAATAGATAAACCCAATATAATCAGTCCTTCCATCACAGGCAGAGGTTGATTTTTTAGCCTTTCATTTAATCACCTTTTACATGACATTAACCTGGGTGACTGGATGCTCTGCAAGATACCCAGAGAAAGACTGCCATTGAGCTTGCAGAAATGACCTTATTAGGTACTATTTGTTACCAATTCAGCAGATAAAGTACAAGAAACACATCCTGTGTTACATGTGCACCAACTAGCATAACATCATGCTTCCTTAATTGACAAGAATTGAAAAGTTACTCACATTAGAGACATTAAACTAAGGTTCTCCAGGGAATGGTCAGAAGTAGACATTCTATAGAAGATGTGGCTGACCCACGATCCTTAAAACAAACATATAATTGCCTAAAGTATACATCTCCATCCAAGACCATTAGAAGAGAATTCTCCTAGATGTTTGGAGATTGTCACACTCTCCTCTGCATTCTTTTGTTTTTCATCTTTTAGAGACATCTTCCCACTTTAATGGTAGAATGTTAGATATTTCTGATTTTCCTGACGTTGTCCTCTTACCAATAACATAACTTGCTAAGGTATGGCTTTATTTGAAAAAATACCCATCCTAATGCAAATGTTCAGCCCTACAAAGATATTGCTATTGCAACAAAGTTGAAGAATCACTGGATATTTCATTCAATGCCATCCTAGAAAAGCCAAATAACAGCTATACCCCAATCCATACTGCTAGAGTAAATCTTCATCAATAAAATTAGCCTTAAAGTATGATAAAAATATCTATTGATAAAAATTTAGGATGGAGTTTGTGCAACTAAACTTGTATTCAGAACATGACTCAACGTGATTATAGGATATGGTCTAACCTTCAGCACTACCTCTCCATTATCAATCGCCGTAGTGTTTTTCATAGAATTATAAAGCAAATATCCACAGGAATTCAGACACTTGAAATGATGAGCTCTTCCCATAAAAACAAAAGTTGAAAACATCAGGGGTAGAAAACACTGAGTGTGTTGGCAGAGATGGAGATCACAGCTGTGTCCAGTGGCATGCGCTTCCTCTCCGCGAGATTCAGACATCTCAAAAGGTTAAGGGCTTCCCTGGTGGCACAGTGGTTGGGAATCCGCCTGTTAATGCCGGGGTCGCAGATTCGAGCCCTGGTCCGGGAGTATCCCACATGCTGCGGAGCAACTGGGCCCGAGCGCCACAACTACTGAGACTGCGCTCTCGAGCCCGCGAGTCACAACTACTGAAGCCTGCAAGCAGCAACGAAGACCCAACGCAGCCAAAAATGAATAAATAAATTTTAAAAATTCTAAAAAAGGTTATATATTGTATGGTTCTATTCATATGACATTCTTTTTATTTATTTTTTTAAGCTGTGTTGGGTCTTCGTTGCTGCGTGTGGGCTTTCTTTAGTTGCAGCGCACGGGCTTCTCATTGCAATGGGTTCACTTGCTGTGGAGCACGGGCTCTAGGCGCCCAGGCTTCACTAGTTGCAGCACGCGGGCTCAGTAGTTGTGGCTCGTGGGCTCTAGCGCACAGACTCAGTAGTTGTGGTGAACGGGCTTAATTGCTCCACGGCATGTGGGATCTTCCCAGACCAGGGCTTGAGCCCCTGTCCCCTGCATTGGCAGGCGGATTCTTAACCACTGCGCCACCAGGGAAGCCCCCATATGACATTCTTAATAAGATAAAAATATGAAAGAACAGACCAGTACTTGCAAAGAGTTAGGAATAGGGGAGTTTGTAATTACAACAGGATAGCACAGGGGAGTTTTGGGGAGCAATGAAACTCTTCTGTATCATGATCATGTGATGGCTACATGATCTATACAACGTATTAAAATTCAAATAAACAGAAATGTACACCAAAAATAGTCAACTTTTCTATATAATTACTTAGGAACAAAAATTTAAAACACTTAAGTTCAAAATGGCAAAATAGGGCTTCCCTGGTTGCGCAGTGGTTGAGAGTCTGCCTGCCGACGCAGGGGGACATGGGTTCGTGCCCTGGTCCGGGAAGATCCCACATGCCGCAGAGCGGCTGGGCCCGTGAGCCATGGCCTCTGAGCCTGCACGTCCGGAGCCTGTGCTCTGCAATGGGAGAGGCCACAACAGTGAGAGGCCCGTGTACTGAAAAAGAAAAAAAAAAAAAAGGCAAAATAGAATTTTCTACCACATTTCCCCGAAAAAAAAAACCCACTTATTTTCACAATCGTAAAGTAAAGGGTGCCTTGAGAAGTCCAGAAGTCCATCAGAGAAGTTCCAGCACACCGTCTGAGGTTGGACACACTGAAGAGGATTGGGGGGAAAATTTCACTTTCCCTCATCACCTCTCTGCAAAGCCCACAGCTGGGCACCAAGAGAAACGTTCTTGGCCTGTGATTTCTCCACAGAGGAAAGTGAGAGCCTGTGAGTGAGCAGCTGCTCCCCAGCTTTGAGGGAGGCTGCCAAAGAGATCCACCCTTTTCTCACCTCACCCAGAATACTGAGGTGTGCGACTCAGCTGGGGAGTGGGGAGCTTCTGGGAGAACAGCAGCCAGGGCTCCAGGAAGACATTAAAGGGACAAGGGCCCTACAGCCAGGGCACAGACTCCATCAGGACCTGCACACCAGCCAGTGGGACGCCTTGCTTACCAATCACCAAAAGTGGCCCGAGGGTACTACCAACGCTCAACATCTCGCCCAAACACCACCCCACCCCGTGGCTGCTCCCAGTGCACAAAGAAGGGCAGCCAGAGCAAGGCTTTGCAGATAGATAGTGAGTGTGTGCAGAAGGCGGCCCCATTCTGCAGGCTCGGGAGAAACACGACAAATGAAAGCAGTCAACACCGCCGTAGGGAAA